TATATATATATATATATATATATATATATATATATAAAATTGTAGAGAATAACTGGTCTGCCTTCAGCAAGCAAACTCAAGAAACAGGGTAAAACTATTTTGGCAAAATGTATGTAATTTTATTGTACAAACTATTGATAATCACTTTGTTTTGTTATGGAAAGATGTATTATTTGGTATATTGGAGAACAGCAAAGAAAAGCACAGTCACGTTTGCATGATAAATCTTATTTGTTTACATGCAAAATTTCATATTCACAAAAGTTCTCATGCAAAAAAAAACTAAGTTTTTTTTCTTTTAGGAAGGAAATGGAGCATTATATTGATACTATACGATATTCTATGAAACAAAAAGCAATTAAAACGGTGAAAGTTTGTAAACGCTTTAATATTTTTATATAGATTAGTATTTGTATACAGCCCCTCTAGTGTGAAATTGTTTATTTCATGTATAATGTTTATTGTTTATGTCATGTATAGTGTTTGTCATATACATGTATTTTGATCTTGTTAATAAAAAAAATAAAAAATAAAAAAAACAAACTCAAGAAGCAGGGTTGCCAGGTTTTCACAACAAAACCCGCCCAAGTGCTACTCAAAACTAGCCCAAAACTAGCCCAATCGCGTTCCGGAAGGTAAAATACACGTAAAATACTCGTTTTTGGCTGGGTTCGCATTCCAGAGGCTAAATATCACGTTATTGGGGTCGCTTCAACCCGCGGACATGAAAAACAACCCGCGGCAACAGTGTTAAACTAGTCCAATTCTGCGGGGAAACCGCGGACTTGGCAACTCTGCCAAGAAGGCTCGTTCTTCCTCATTAGGTGACGATCCGCACGCTGATTGGAGTTATGTTAATGAGGGGGCGAGGCCTTGGGAAATGAGTAGGTGACGTCAACTCTCATTCCGCAGAGAGCGAAACAAACATGGCGACAGGATGGAGTGGGAAAGGGTGTACGCTAACGTTAATGCTGTTCCTTTGGAGTAAAATCTGCGCGAATGGAGCGGAATCCCTGGGGAGCGACAGCCGAATCCTCGGCATGCGGCTGGAGTGGAGCGACAAGCCCGCCACGACCACCGACAATGGAATCATACAGGTAACCGAGGGGAGCAAAATCAAGCTCAGGTTCTACGGACTGCAAATCAGTAATGACACCTGGGAGCAGATTAAGTTCGTGGAGCAGGGCGAGGACAGCAGCTCTGACTTCAACAGGACTTGTGCTGACTTCACCAAAGACCTCTCCATCCAGCCTAAAATGGAGGTTAGCAGCCAGGGCACATCTGGGGTGCTGGAGGTCAGTATTAAACCACTTAGGAAAAGTGAGTCCCAGAGGGATTACGGGCTGTGCATCAGACACAGCCAAGATGGGAAGTGGTACCTCCTGGGAGAACATGATGGAAAGTTGCATGTGGTGGAGGAGAAGAAGTCTCTGCTTCCCATTTGGTTCCAGGTGATCTTGATTTCCTGCCTCCTGGTGCTCTCAGGTATGTTCAGTGGTCTAAACCTGGGGCTCATGGCTTTGGACCCCATGGAACTGCGAATCGTCCAGAGCTGTGGCACGGAGAAAGAGAAGAAGTACGCACGCAAGATCGAACCCATCCGGAAGAAAGGAAACTATCTGTTGTGCTCGCTTCTCCTCGGGAACGTGCTGGTCAACACCACACTGACCATCCTGCTCGATGATCTTATCGGCTCTGGTTTGGGTGCTGTGGTGGCATCAACCATCGGCATTGTCATCTTCGGGGAGATTGTTCCTCAGGCGCTCTGCTCTCGCCACGGCTTGGCGGTGGGTGCCAACACCATCCACCTCACCAAGTTCTTCATGCTTCTGACCTTTCCGCTGTCGTTCCCCATCAGCAAACTTCTAGATTGCATTCTGGGCCAGGAGATCGGCACCGTGTACAACCGGGAGAAGCTGGTGGGGATGCTGAAGGTGACTGCGCCATACAACGACCTGGTGAAAGAGGAGATGAACATGATCCAGGGTGCTCTGGAATTGAGGACTAAGACAGTGGAGGACATCATGACTCCACTCAGCAACTGTTTTATGATCAACAGCGATGCTGTGCTGGACTTCAACACTATGTCAGAAATCATGGAGAGCGGATACACGCGCATTCCAGTTTATGAGCACGAACAGACCAATATAGTGGACATCCTCTTTGTGAAAGACCTGGCGTTTGTGGATCCGGATGACTGCACTACGTTGAAGACCATCACCAAATTCTACAACCATCCGGTCCACTTTGTGTTTCACGACACTAAGTTGGATTCCATGCTGGAGGAGTTTAAGAAAGGTTAGTCACTTTTTGTTTTTTGTTTTTTTTTGCTGCAGCATTTCTCATCGTCACTCGATGTTCATCTGGTGTAGCGAGGAACAGTACAGCCGGAGGGAGGTGTATCAGCAGTGATGCCACTTTTACAGGGTTTGTGGAGAAGGCCGCTCGTTCTGTCTATTCTTAATTAGTTCCGCTCCTATCAGGTTGGAAAACACACATCCTCACATCCCTGTGGGCCTTTCTCTCCTCCTCTGACTGTCAAGGTCAGCTGTTGGCAGTCTGTCTTCTCTTATTTCCTAAAGCCCATGAAGTCGACATGAAATTGACCTTGTTTGCTTCCTAAAACACATTTGTGGTCTGACTGTGAATGATCATCAAGTGCATGTTATTTCAGTACAAAAAAAAATGTGTTTTCAATCTTTCCAACTGCAATAATTCTCTAAATTTTGATTCCACCCCTCCGAAACCGGTCATATAGTGTTATTTTAGTGTTGTTTGTATCCTATAATAATTTTGTAATAATATTTAGAATTTGATTTGATCATTTTATTGATTTTAATATTTATAGTAATTGTTTTTTGTAATTTTATGTAGTTTTTAATATTACTATTTAATAATTTTTTTCTAATATTCTAATAAAACAATGCAATATTTGTATTTTTATCTCGGCTTTATTTTAATTAACAAAACTGAATGAATAGCTTCAGTTAATGATAATAACCCTGATATAAAGAGCTGATCATGATCCAGTCAATTATGTAATTTTTTCCCCATTGAATATCCTGTTTCACCTACAAATTGTCACATTACAGAAGTAAAATGACTTGTGAGTGCCATTTCATGTCGTGACGTTTTTGGAAATATTTCGCAGCAAGTCTTCAATTCAGTAAATCCTTAGTTGATTAACCACGGGTAACCATTGTACCATGTTTTTACTACGCGCCCTATGGGAAATATGTTTAAGCGGACATTTGTAATTAACTTCTAAAGCCTTGTATAAATACTGAGCTGAAATTTAACATTGTAGAGCTGTTTGACTAATCACGTGTGTTTGTTGTCATCACAATAGCCATGACACTAATGATGGAGCAAAACCTGCGGTCTAATCACTGCTTGCACAAGTTTACTGTCAGCAGGCTTTGACTTGGGGTTTGAGCTACATTTCTAGACCTTGAACTGTTCTATTGCTGAACTTATAAAGAAGTGTGTATATTCTTCTATATTGTTATATTTGGCATTAATTTAAACAGCCAAACCAGTCAAAATGACATATTAATTAGCCTACATTCATTTAAAATCTGATTGACTGCCTGCCCTGTAGTCTAGTATAAAATTCTCAAGTTTGGGATTTATACTGCGCTAACATTCCTGCCATTTTAGTTTTTAATAAACTGAAGTGGCACTATAGCTCATTCGCTATAAGTGATAGTCACACAATATGGTGTGCTCATGTGAATGGTACATGACAGTACCAAAGGACATTAGCACTGATAACATGATAACTTCTTAATGTTGAAGCTAGATAAAATGTTTGGTTTTACTGTTAATCTTTTTAAACCTGGTTCCATGGTGCATTGAATATCTCAGAAATTGTTATGGTTATCTGAAAGGTACCATATTAGACTCATGACTCTGTTGATGTCATGACTTGCACCTTAAAGGGATAGTTCACCTAAAAAAATAAAAATTCTGTCATTATTTACTCACCCTCAAGTTGTTCAAAGATATGTTAAAGAATGTTTGTAACCAACCAATCAAGTCAGTGGCTACCAGCATTGACTTGATTGGTTTCGTTTCCAACATTCTTTAAAATATATATTTTTTGTGTGTTTTAGAAATTCAGACATTTTTGGAATGACATGAGGGTGAATAAATAATGACAATTTTCATTTTAACTGGAGACCAAAGAGATTTTAATCGTGCAGCCCTATAGTTGATAATATATAGCGACTCGAGACTCAAACATGTAAGGTCACATGTAGTCATTTTTAAAGCGTTATCTATTGATTCTATAGCTTATATTACATATGATCTGTATTAATATTCATTTAAAGTAAATGCTTTATAATAATTGTTAAACTAAAAATGCTTGTGTGTAATGGATTAATAATAATATAAATCATATATAAATCTGATGTCAGACATGTGTCACTTTGCTCACATTTGATTGGTCCAATTTCAGTTTGAGATCTCTTACCCAGAACATAACCTGGCCTGGAGCAGGTTAGCTGTGGAGTTTAAGTTACTATGGCAATGAACTCCGCTAAAAGCCAAACCACTTTCATGGTACCTAAAACCCAGGATTGGTGCAAACTAAACTGAAACTAGCCTGGCTAGCCAGCTAATCTGGCTTCATGGGACAGGCCCCCGGACTACTGGTATAGAGGTTTTTGTTCATTGTCATTGACTAACAGGTACAATCTGTTCGCTTTTCATCTATAATTGTCATTTAAGAAACAATTTTGCATTGCTGTGTTGTCTGGCTTGGTTTGAAATGAAAACAAGGTATTGCTGTGCATTCTGTTTGTTCAGCTCATGAGTTTGTCTGTTTTGAAGCACTTCCTCTAGTTTATGCAGAAGGCTTTGCTTACTTCACTTCCCATCCATGATACAAACCAAAACCATTGTATTCCTTTCCTCATCCACTTTTCATGTCCTGCTTAAACGCACTGATCCTCAAAGATGGCATTCTGCCACTGTCGCCCAGTTTTTGGGTTAGGCTTCTATCACGTGGTACTGCGGCAACTGGTTTTGGTTATGTGTTGCATGAAGGAGTAAAGGGGAAATACAGGGCAATAACCACCATGAATGGCTTATTCTCAGTGGCTGAATGACTGGGTTTCCCCTGGCTGATTGTTGGCCCCATATCCACCTCATTTTTTAACTTAACAGCAGGTGTGGTTTTTTGTAACTGGGGGTGTGCAAGGTGTCATTTGCTTCCAGTTATTTTACCTATACAAAAACAGTCTATTATGTAAGGGATAATGATCTGATATTGTTTTGAGTTGAATTTTTTATATTAGCTTTGTAAGCGCAAAGCTTCCACAATGAAAAACGACAAACAAAGTTCAGAAAAGACTGACATTTAAGGCATAATATACAGTTGTATCATTATTCACACAGTGTTTCGGTAAAGATGAGGACATAAAATGTTACATTTTAACATCTTACCTGTTCATTATCATAAATCCATCACAGTGTTCAAAACAATCGTTCTGGCAACAAGGTGAACGATTTACTAATATTACCACTGACCTACTATTAAGTCTATCATATTATAGTAAATACAGTCAAAACCGAGGCACAAGATGATTGTTGCATTTGAAAGAAACAAGAAAGAGTGCGGAGGTGTGATATGAGAGATGTAAAAGTCGCACCGGCCTCAAATACCTGGATGAGCGGCGTGTTATTAGGCATCGCTAATAACGATGGTTGTTGTTTGTGAAAAACACACCTCGGAATGTTGCGACCGACCAATCTGAATCAAGAATTCCAGTGACCCGTGTAATAAGCTGCTTTTTATTGGTATTATTTTCTCATTATTTTATTTGTTAATTAACCCTAACCCATAATCATGAACACACTGATTTGTAGCGCAACTATAGTAGGCCTAGTTTAACCATTTACTGCACTTTGTTATTCTTCTAGTTATTTTACCGATTGCAGCCGGCTAATGAATAAGTAGTTCAAAGAAAACAGCTCATTTCTGCATTGCAAAATGAGGGGGATAAGTGCAAGTGCAATTAAAAAACATTAAGAGAAAGGAAAAGACACATTTCTGTCAAACCTGTGCTTTATTTCGTTGTTTTGTTGTCTGTGTTTAGTTGTGCTAAGTGGATTTGGCGAGCTCTCTGACGGTATTGTAATGTCATAAGCCTCTCCGTATTCTAATAGGATCACAATCTCTGTGTTTCTCTGTTCATGCTTACAGTGTCACAAATATTTCTCTCTTCCTGTCTTTTACTTCCTGTCAAGGCATTTGTTTATCAGGAGTGCTGACCAAGCATATGCTGTGTGCTTGTGCACGTGTTTGGATGGTTTTAGATATAGCACTTTTCATTTACACTTAACTACACAAATATGGGATATTCTAGAAAAAATTTATTTAATTCTCTTCAGACTAGATTTTTTAAAAAGTTAATTATAGTTTAGTTTCTTTTGAACATGAGAATGTAAATGTTGTTGTCAAGAGATAAATATGGTATTATGTAGGCCAATTGTATCTATTAAAAAATATTTAAAATCAAGTGGTTCAACAATAGTAAACACAGTTGTTAAGATATATTTGAGTTTTTCTTGGAAATATCTGGATAACCTCTCATTACTGCAACAAAGAAACACGGGCCAAAAATAAATTTTTTTAGATGTATTTTATAAAAACAAAAAAAGATTTCAAATCAAGTGGTATAGCTAAAATGTATTTATTGAATAAAAAATATATATTTTTCAGATTTTTAAATCTATTAAAAAAAAACATGATATACATTAATATATTTAAAGGGGTCATATGATGCGATTTAAATTTTTCCTTTCTCTTTGGAGTGTTACAAGCTCTTGGTGCATAAAGAAGATCTGTGAAGTTGCAAAGACTAAAGTCTCAAATCCAAAGAGATATTCTTTATAAAAGTTAAGAGTCAACCACGCCTACCTAAAACGGCTTGTTCTAACACGCCCCCACATGTCTACGTCACGATGTGGGAAGATTTGCATAACGCTGCCCAAATGTTCACGCAAAGAAAGAAGGCGTAACTTGTATTCTCGCTGTAGTATTGTTGTTGCCGCCGCCGCCGCCATGTCGTGAAGGCGCTGTGTGTTTCGTTGTGAAAGCGAAACTACTTTGTTTGGCCTTCCAAAAGAGGACTATATCCACTTTGTCAAGCGGAGTCCAGCCCGGGGTCATCATATGTGGTTGCCGCAAGCCCGCCGGCCGCTCCTTCGTCGAATCCGCTCACTCTAACCCACCGGCCGTTCCTCACTCAAGCCTGCCGCTGTTCCTCACTCTAGGCCTCTGGCCGCCG